CCAAGCAGCTGGAACAACAGGTGAGTGCCACCACACCCAGCTAATTTTTTGATTTATTGTAGAGATGAGGTCTCGCCATGTTTCCCACACTGGTCTCGAACCCATAGTTTCAGGCAATCCTCTCACCTCCACCTCCCAAAGAGCTGGGATGACAGGTGTGAGCCACTGTACCCTGTGGCTGTCTACTTCTACGTGTAAAGATGCATTTGCCTGGCCATCTGTCAGTCAATCCATCTGGAACCATTGCCAAAGGCTTGTTATAGACCACTAAAGCGAATCTGACCTTGGTCCTGACACCAAGAACCCCCACTGTCAAACAGGAAATCCTCGGATCAGATTTGGCCTGTGAGCGGTTGTTTGCTGACCCCTGCTGTAAAGGGTTCACCCCAACGCTCTAGACTAAAAAAAAAAAAAAAAAAGCTAGTTCTCAGACAGGATTCCCAGGTGTGGTGTGAAGATTCTGCACTGGAGCCATGGCAAACTTTCTCTTGGTTTGTATCTCCCACTCGCACCAAAGGAAGAAGCATCCAGGTTCTCTTACTGTCTTTCCTGATGTGGAACAAGAGGGGACAAACAAGGGGTGAGTCTTCAGTCAAATAGTGAAAAGGGAAGTTAGACTCTTTATTATACAACATTTCATTGGGTCTTGTTTTCTTTTTAACCCAATCCGGCAGTCTCTCTTAATTCATGTGTTTAAACTATTTTTGTTCATTGTAATTATGGCTATGGCTGGATTGAAATCTGTCATCTTAGCAATACTTGTATATTTATTCATGCATTCTTTGTTCCTGCTTGTCTGCTTGCTTTGAGATTATATATTTTTTCTGATTTATCTCAACTATTGGGTTATTATTCACATCTCTTTTAAGAAATCTTTAGTGGGGGTTGTCCTGGGTATATAATACATATCCTTGATTAATCACATTATACCTTCAAACAATATAATTCTAAGTACACAGAGTATAAGAACCTTGCAACAGTGTAATTTAAATTCCTGTCTCTCGTATTTTGTGCTATTTTTGTCATTATTTTGCTTTTACATATCCTCTAAACCAATGGTTCACAGTACTGCTTTTGCTTTAGACAGTGATTGAATATAAGAAAAAGATCTTACATTTACCTTTATATAAAATATTTCTGTAAAGCTTCACTTCATTGGTATAGATCTTAGTTTTTGTCTTGTATCATGTAACTTCTGAATGAGAAACTCCCTTTCATATTTCTTATAGCACAAGTATGCTAATAATAAATTCAGTTGTTTGTTTTAAAAGTCTTTTTCTCTATTTTTGAAATATATCTATATCTATATTTGAGTCAAAGCCTCACTCTGTTGCTCATGGCTCACTGCAGCCTCAACCTCCTGAGCTCAGGATATTCTTCCATTTCAACTTCCTGAGTAGTTGTAATGTCAGGCACGTGCCCCCAGGCCTGGCTGATTTTTTCTTTTTTCTTTTTCTTTTCTTTTTTTGTGTGTGTGTGTGTGTAGAGACAAGGTCTTACTATATTGCCCAGACTGGTTTCAAACTCCTGGGCTCAAGTAATCCTCCTGCCTCAGCCTCCCAAACTGCTGGGAATACTGGTGTGAGTTACTGCAACTGGCCTAATTTTGAAAAGTATTTTTGCTGACTATAGAATTCTGAGGTGAAAGTTTTTTCCTCAGCACTTTAAAGATACCACCCCTTTATTTTTTGACTTGCACAGCTTCCAGAAAGAAGTCTGCTATATTTATTTTCTTTGTTTCTCTATGTGTAATACCTTTTTCCTCTGGCTACCTTCAATATTGTTCTCATTATGTCTAAACATGGATGTTGTTGTTGCTGTTTAATCTTAGATTTCTCTGAGCTTCTTGGACCTATACTTTGATGTCTTTCATTGTTTTGGAAAATTCTCAGGAATCATCTTCTTAAATATTTTTCTTCTGCCTGTTCTTTCTGTCTCCTCATCTGGGATTCTAGTTATATATTTGTTGAACCACTAGATATTATTCCACAGCTCTTGGATTCTGTTCTGCTTTTGCTTTCCTTCAACTCCTTTTTTTCCCTATTATTTAAATTAGGTAATTTAGATGGACCTATCTTCAAGTTTGCTCATTCTTTCCTCAGGTCTACTGATGAATTCATTAGAGGCATTATTCATCTCTGGTTTTTATTTTCTTCCATTTTTAGCATTTCCATTTACTTCTTTCTTATAATGTCTACCTTACTGCTGAAATTGCCCATCTGTGCTTGTAAATGTTCCATATAGTTATTTTAAGTTTTTAGTTCTGTTAGTTCTAACACCTAGGTTACCTCTGAATTTCTGGTTCTGTTGGTAGCTTTTTTTTTTTTTAAGAGGCAAGTTCTCACTATTTTGCCCAGGCTGGAGTGCAATAGTTATTCTCAACCTCCATGATAGCACACTACAGCCTGAAACTCCTGGACTCAGGCAATTCTTCTGTCTTAGTTTTCCAAGTAGACAGGACTCTAGGCACATGCCACCATGCCCAGATGCTTTGTCTCTTGTTAATGTGTTTTTTTTGTGTATGTCTGCAATTTTGACTTCAATGCTCGACATCATGTATAAGAGAGTAGATACGGATTTAAATAGCATTTATTATTGGAAATGGGCATGTCTCTTTTTCTGCTAGACTGATAGTGCATGCACACACACGTGATTGTGTGTGTGTGTGTGTGTGTGTGTGTGTGTGTGTGTGTGTGTGTGTGGGTGTGTGTGTGTGTCGGGGGAGTTAAGTCAATCTAGTCAGGAGGTGAGCAGGGTTTGGGTTTTATTGTTGCTATGGTTATCTTAAGTGCACCATCTGCTTCAAATTCATTATTTTTTTTAACCGTGTGCTTGTTCTAGCGTGCTTATAGGGGCTGATTTCCTGAAGTTTTTTTTTTTAAACGTCTCAGGATTAGGCCTGCTCTGTGCACCTGCTCTTCAGAGAGGCTTTCTCTCTTTCCATGCTTTCTTTCTCCCCCAGCAGCTGATTTCTGTTACTTGGTACTTACTGACTCTGTGAGGGAAGTTGGGAGAGGTTTCTTTTGTCCTGGTCCAGTCTCAGCTTTAGGCAGGTACTTTGTTCTTCAGTCTTGGAGATGCGACTTTCTCAGTAATCCCAGTAAAAGCCATAATCTGGACCCAGAATGTTTCCTATCCCTCTACCAGGGGTATAGAATTTAAAATTTTTCCTTTTCCTGGGCCTCAATAGGTCTTCATGGGTGCCTTAGGGGACACAGAGTTTGCTGGTCTTTCCCCAGTGGCTGAAGGATTTTGTTCCATAGGGGAGAAGGGTCAGAGCAGGGCTTTACCCCCCGGAGGCAGCCTCGCAGGCTCCCTCCAGTCTTATCACCTGCCCCTGTCTTTCTCATGAGTGCCTACTGGAGGTCTGCAGAGAAGAGTCTGTGGTGGGTGTAGACTCTCCCTTGGGTCTCTGGTTCCCAGGGATTTTTATACTCTCATACTAGTCCACACTTGGCCTTCAGCTCTTGACTGGAAATTTTAGAGTAATTCTACTCATTATGGTGACCACCTGTGGTAGAAAGTAAGCCAACATTCAATCCCACCTTCCCTCCAAGTGCCTGTCTTCCCTCAGTGTCCAGGGTATTCATTTGCCTTGCAGCTTTTTGGTGCAGGAAAGCTATGATTTTGAGGACACACCAGCTTTGTCTTGCTGTTAGGGTAGGAGTGACAACTCCAGAAATCACTCATGAGATTCTGAAAGGGACAGTTTTAGAGTGACATGTTGGAGACATACCTCATAGCAGTCACTGCCCGCACGTGAAGTGGTCCAGCCTACAGAGAGGGTTAAGACCAGCTGTTGGATGAGACAGCCTCAGGGAGGCTACCGCATACATTGAGGAAGGCACTGAAGACTGTGGAGAGGACAGTAAAGACCACGCTGCAATGCCGTGCAATTACCATGGCCCCTCTCTCCCTCTTCCCCTGACCTAGGTACATTCCTAACCTGGGTGGGGCACCACCACCTACACACGTAGCTACAAATTGAGGGGAGGGACACTGCACTCTGGCCATCCCAAACCCAACTGTTGAAAGCTGTTGGGGGCCCAAAGACCTGGATGTTGGGAGCCGGCCACGGAGGCCCACTGACCATTAGGGATCAGGAAGGGCCGTTGACCCCGAGACCACTAGGATGCGTTCGGGAGCTATTGACCTCATTTCCTCCCCCTTTCTACTCAGCACTAACCAGATTAAGCTCCTGTGAGCTCAAAACATAAAAACTCTGAGATTAGAACGAACACAAGCTAACTTTAGAAGCTCATTGCTCCCATTCTTCCACAAACTGTAGTTTTGGCTTTCACACAACTTATAATTCAAACTCGTGTCACATCTAAGAGCCTTAGTATTGGTCACAGGCTTCTGAGTCATGATCTTAGGATTTATTGAAGGTGTAAATTGTAGAATATAGTTTTAGAAGACAGCCATTTTGTTGAAAGAATATGGCTGGGTTACTTGCAGGTAGCAAGTTTGGACTGGGCCACATTCCAAACATTCTGGGATGGGCCACTTTCGTTTGTAAAGTAAATACTTAAGCTTCTATAAAATTGTTTAACTTGGCATAAATCAATCATCTTAGGATGAAAAAGGTTTATATAATATGTTAGTCATGGATTAGGTTATCCTTTGTTATGGGATTTTAAGATTATCATATGAAAAGGGTTTAAAGGCAATCATTGATTAAGTTTTCATGGATTAAGGCTTCTGCACTAGACAGTGGTCCAGTCTCTTTCTTTCTCTCTCTCTCTCTCTCTTTCTTTCTTTCTTCTTCCCCCCAATCGCCAATGCCATCTCCACCTTTGGGGTACCCTGAACCCAGCTGGAGCTGGTCTCCGGCACCTGCAGCAGGTCCAGAATTCCCCTAAGCACCTCCCAACCTGCTGGACTCTGCTTTGCTAGAGGCCAAACCATCCCCAGCAGAGCCACCTTCCTAATAATGGTGGCTTCTCTTCATCCTTCTCTCTCTGAGGAGGATGGATTGATCGCCAGACCAGGACACACACTGATTTGGCCCCCAAAAGAACATTTATTCCCCAAATTGAGGTCACAAGTACAAAAGTTGCCCTTCCTTGACCTCTGCCTCATCTCCACCAGACAATTCTTCACCCTCACAATAAGAGGCTTCCTTGATCTACAATCACCTGCTGTGGAATAGCCCTGTCTTGGCTCTTCCAGGCTCCCAAGGCTGGCTAGGCCTCCCGTTCACAGCTCAATGTGCTCTGTCTGGGGTGGCTTCTCTGCTACTTTCTTGGTCAAGAGATCAGTCCAGAAAGATACTTCCTTGTCCTTCATCTTCTGGGCTGTCTGGGTATTGACACCAATCTTCAGGTACCCTTCTTTCTGGTCATATTCTGGCCAGTGGGGCAGCCCTTCTCCATTGGGGTTCCTGAGAACAGAATCAAATAGAAATTCCCCAAAGTTGCTGTGTGGTCCCAAAAAGTCTCTGAGATTTGCAGGGATCCCCTAGCTTAGCTCTGCCAAGAGGCTTGTATACCTCCAGAGACAGGGAGTTCACCATCTCCTGGGGCAGCCCATCCATTTTTAGAGAGCTCTCATTGTCCAAGCACTGTAGCCACAGGGTTGGGGGTTTGATCTTTAGAAGCTGTCCCTTCCCAATGGGCACACCTTTCTTTTTTTTTTTTTTTTTTTTTTTTTTTTTTTT